CCGCCCGCCGCCCGCCCGCACGGCGCCCGCAGCCTGTACCTCAGCCGCCTCCGCCCGGACCTGCGGAGCCCAAGGCCGCCGGCAGCAGCTCCTGACCTTCAGCCGGGGCCCAGACTCCTGTCGCCGCGCTCGGCCGACCCTGGGCCCCAAGCCCCTCAGACCACGTGCCTTAGGGCCGCGCCGGGCCGGGTGGCCCCTGGGCTGGTCCTTGCTGCTCGAAGCGCGCGACTGCTTCCCCCGCCGGAACCCGGCCCTGAGCCTCTGTCACACGACAAGATTCTTTTCCTTCCTTCTCATAACTTACAGCCTTCCCGCTCAAGTTCCTTTCACTATTAGTTGTAAAGACCAGATCCTAAGCAGTCTTCTCCACCTCGAGTTCTGTTATCAAGCCAGCTCCTGCCCCTCGCTACTGCCCAGTGGCAGAAGATTGTTTAGTAGCTGTGCCTGTCCCCAGTGACTATGAAGTGGCTGACATAACCCAGAGTTGTGTCGCGCGCAACTGTGATTGAACTTGAACTCTGGCATTCAGTCCCCACTTTCCTGTAACTTCATCTCGACCATTTCTTTCCTTCTGAGTCAGTCCTTGCTCCCACGGTTCTAACCTTGTCATTGTTAGAAAAGCTAACCGCTCTGCAACCCTGTCAGCGGTGACCACAGCAATGTAACTCTCACAGCTGCTCCAGGGAGCGTAGGTGGCTGACAGCTCCCCTCTGCTGAGAAGTGCTTCTTGGGGCCACTCCCAGTACTGATTGAGCCAGGCTTAGTATTGGTGGCAGCCCATTCAAGTGAGATGCATGAGGCCCATAATGAGCGATTTGGGCATGGGGACCACTTAATACAGCTGGAACTTTCTTAGAACTGTGCTGCCTTGGTCTGAGGTTCTTGCCCAGTCTTCCTCTCCTTTCACAGTGGGTCAGACCTGCCTAAGGTATGAATGCTCCCTGCCTCCTCTCCTGCCCTCTTTCCTTCATCCTTCACGGGTGTCCCATCAGTAGAACTCTTGCATGTTCAACCATGTCTTGGTGCCTGCTTCTAGGACCTGAACTAACATGTTTCAGATATTCCACTCTCTGCTCACCATATTCCTATCCTGGGCTTTTTGCTCACTGTCTTAGGTGCAATTTCTTCTCTAGCCTAGATTCCATGCTCCGTTTTTATAATCCCACTCCTTGAAATGTAGTTCTCTCAGCTCTTAAACCTCAGTTCCTTCCAAGTTGTTTCTTGAAAAAACCCCAGTCCTTGTTAAACCTTACCGTCTTCCTTGCATGGGCCTGACTGAGAGAGCAGAACATTTTCTTTAAGAAAATCACAAAATTCAAGCAACTAGTTTTTCTTTCAGTCCATTTTCTGAAACCTAAAATTGGTGCTGTTCCTACTATAGTCTCAGTCTCCCTTTTGTAAAACTTCTGTTCATGCATTTTCGGTTTCTCACAATGCTCTGGTCCTCCCTCCCTGTTTACTTCATATTTCACTGAGAAAAATAGGAGTTACTATATCCACACTTCTCATTTTTCCACAAGACTCTGCAGCCCGCTACCTTGGGAGCCATCTTTCTTTTTGTGGCTGTAGAGGAAGTTTTTAAGGCCGGCCCTTCCTTTTGTCCTCTGAATTTCACCTTGGACCTAGTTTTGAAGAACTGTCCCTTTAGGTTTTCACTTTCTCTTTTCTGCATCACCAATCCCTTTCCCCTCACTGGATTGTACTCCTCAGCCTCCAAGCATACTCCAGTATCTTCATTTTAATCAAATCTTCCTTTGTGCACATGGTCTCCATCTGTAGCCAATTTTAGCTCTCCTTTGGATCTGCTTCTTTATGCAGGTGTCCTTTCATGTTATATGTGTTTCCTAATCTCTACTTTTCAGGCCACAGTGATTCAGTGTCCCCATTGACATAGGGACAGCGCCCTTATTAAGGTCTCCAGGCATTTCCTACTTCCGGTCCAAAGGGTGCTTTGCTCTGCTCACCATGCTCACTACTTTAAATGTTTTCTCTTCAGTTCAAACCACTGTTTTCTGCTATATTTCATTCTGTGTCTCCTACTCTCCAGGTTTATAACCCATTTTCTGCCTAATAATTGAAAAGTTGGGGATTTTGCCACCCTCCTGGTCCCTCTTTTATTTCTGTGTTCTTTTCCAGGCATCTTACCAATTTTCATAGACTTAAGTACCATCTCTATGCTGAAACGATTTTCACGTTTGTATATCTTACCTAGACCTTTCCACTAGGTTCTAGATCCATATATCTAATGGTTTCCTTAATTTATTCCTTTGGTTGTCTTAGATCTCTAAAACTCAACATTTGCAAAAATCTAATTTCTCTTTCTCATCTCAAACCTCATTTCCCTATTGCGATAAATAGTACTACCATTCAGCCAGTTGTTCAAGCCAGAAACCTAGGAATCATCCTTCCTTTAATGACCTGTTCCCTACACCAAGTAGATCACTTAATTTATCAGTTTTATTATCCAAATATATCTTCATGCTGTCTAGTTCTTTCCAAGTTGAATGCCATCACTTGGTCCTGATAGTGTGTTTTCTCACCTGAATATTAGGACAGTCCGTCCTACTTGGTCTGTCTGCTACCACTCTTGATCCACTTCAACACGTTTTTGACACAGTGGCAACAGTGACCATTCCTATAAATTGAATCAAGTAAACTGTTGATTATAGGGTAAGATCTAAACTCTTTACTCTGGCTCATTCAGCCCTGTATAGTCTGACCCTAGCCTATTATCTAACCCCACCTATGCTCACTGTTACTTGCCATAATGCAGCCACTCTTGACTTCTGCAATACGCCCAGATCTTTCCTGCACCTCGGGGGTTGGTAAATGTGTTCTTTGTGTTCTGGGTGCTCCTCAGAGCCACCTGCTGCCCCATTGTGATACAGCCTTTAGATAAGCACTTGGATACCTTTTGAGAAAGGCCTACCTAGAGCACCCTATGGAAAGTAATCCCCACCTCTCATACCATTTGTTGTCTCAGTCTTTTGTTTGTAACCTTATTTATTTGTCTGTTTACCTTTTTGAGTGCTGTTTCCCATCCTAGAATGTATGAGGGAAGAGACTGTGTGGATACCTGCATTCTTCAATATTGTATTCTCAGCCCCTCCACAGTATTTGGCACATGTTGGGTGCACAGTAAATACGGAAGTAGAGAATGAACGCATATGCCAGTTTTCCTGTTGGGCATTCAATTCACTGGTTAGTAAGAGCTCTTCATATATTAAAACCACTAATCATTTCTTTTTGTATACTGCAGACATTCTGCCTCTTCTCAGATATGTACCAGCTTAATTCATGAGATCTTTGATATACAGACATACTGTATTTTTCATTAGATTTTTTTCATGAATCATATCAATGTTATATAATATCTGTCCATGTTTCTTTGAAAGTTTTTTAGATTTGAATCTTTACTCCAAATGGAATTTATTTTTGATATAGATGTGATTTGTGATTAAGGGTCTAAATATTTATTTAGTTGTTGCATCATCATTTATTGAAAACTCCCTTTTCTACTGTTTTGAACACCCTACATTTATCAAATATTAAATTCTTACATCTACTTGGAGTGGTTTCTGGATTCATTGCTTGTGTTTTGGTATTCTCTGTTACTGAACCATGTTATTTAACTTATTACCATTTTTTAATTTGCTTTGCTGTATATTTAACTTTTTAGGGGGATAAATAGTTATTCCTCTTTTTCAAAATTTTTGGCTACACTTGTGCATTTATTCTTCCAAATAAGCTTCAGTTATATTTTGGTCAAGTTTTAAAATAAATTCTTTTGATATTTTTTAGGATTATAAATTACACTTTAAAAAATAGTATAGTTTTTTGGGGAAGAATTGCTAATTTTGTAATACTAAGTTTCCTCTTCCAGAACCTGTCACATGTCAAGATTACTAAAACTACCCTTTATGTTCCTCGGTATTTTTTAAGTCCTGCATATTCCTAGGAGTTATAGTATTAGATATTTCATGTCTTTGTGGTTGAGTGGGATTTTTTTTTAAATAAATGGTTGCTTCTTGGGAATCAAGCAGTTTTTTTTTTTTTTTTGGTAGTTTTTTGGAACTCTCATTCATCCTAATTATTGATTCTTTTCTAAATATCCAATCATTTGAAGTATAATTAATAATTTTTTCTTATCCTTTATAATATCTATCTCATATACTAAATAAATGATGGCAGGACTGCTCTTATTCCTGACTTTTTAAGAATGCCATTAATATTTCATCAACTTTTAACGTTAGCTGTTGGTCGGAAATACAGGTCTTTATCAGGTTTTCTAGTTCAACTGAACATTTTATTGGAAGTTGTTGAATTATATTAAACATTTCAAGCAACTAGAGATTATCATGGTTTTACTCTTATGGTCTATTATCACAGTAAGTTGTATTAATAGATTTCTCAGTGTTGGGTTATTTTTTTTTTTTTTTGGTTTTTTCTCCGGTACCGGGAACCGAACTCACGACCTTGCGCTTGCCAGGCAGGCGCTTTTGCCGCTGAGCTAAATCCCCAGCCCCAGTGTTGGGTTATTTTTGCTTGAGAAGCATCCTGTTTCATGGTAGTTTTTTCTTTTTTAATGTAATGTTAAATTCAGTTTCTTACATTTTATTTGGGATTATTGGATTTATATTTATGGAAAAGATTGGACCGTAGTTGTGCGTTTTTGTATTCCACTTTATCAGCCCCCCAAAAATGAAATTTCCATGTTGTTCTATGTTCTGGATTAGTACATATTATAGGAATAGTCTATTTTTGAAGTTTTGGAGGAACTCACTCATATTACTGTGTAGGCCTCAAGCTTTTTCAGGATGGGTGAGTGGAAGATAATTCTCTGAAAACTTTAAGAAAAACTTGTATGGTTTTGGCCTAGACAGATTACTATTTCTAGAGTATCAATTTTAAAATTATATTTTTAAAGAAAATCATGCATTTTCATAGAATTTTAAAAGTTGCTAGCAGATTTCTACATAAAATTATAATTAATATTTTCTCCTATCTGTGATTATAGCTTCTTTCAGTTCTAATCTTTTTAGTTGCATATTTCCTTTCTTTTATTAGACTTGTCAATCTTTTTAAGGAACCAATAGTTAGATATTTTATCAATTTATTTTTTCTAATGTATATATCAATATACCTTTTCATCTTTAATTCTTTACTTATTTTTATCTGTATTGTTTTATGAATGTTTCTTTATAATTGACGTAGTTCATTTATTTTTATTTCTTATTTAATATGACACATAAGACTATAAGTTTACCTCTGGGCATATCTTTGACTGCATCCCAAGAGTTTTGGTATGTAGTGTCTCAATGTTACTATTTAAAAATAATGGATTATAGTTGCTGTTTCTATTTCATTTTTGACATGTTCTTTAGGATAGTGTTTTGAGGTTTTGTTATTGTTAATCCTGATTTCTTTAATAAAGAGTAAGTTTATTAATATTTATGTTGCTATTTTAATAAAAAGCTAATTTTGTTTGGAAAAAATAAAAATTATTTGTCGAATGGTCTTACCTGAAATTGTGTAAAAGCACCGCCCTATTAGTTACAAGATCCTACCAATAGCGCCCACTAGTGGTAACTATACTAGTTACGGAAAACAGAGATTTAAGGTACCGCTAAGTCAATAATTTACTGGAATTGTCATTTCTTTAATGTCCTTCTTACCCATGTAAAAGTCAAGAAGGAACTTTAAAAATGCTTATTGCATCAGTAATTCTCAAGTATTGTAGTATGAAATTTAAATCTAGTAATTAGAAAAATTCATCAGAATTTATGAAATCAGGAAGGATTTAAATACTGTGAATGTGAACTCTGCCACAAAATTTTGGCGTTAGAAAAGTTTTCTTATAGACTCAGCAAAATACAGTTTTGTGAAATGGACCACAAACTGGGCAGTGAGCGTGTAAGCAGGGGCAATGGTCTACAATGGTATGAAAACCAGATGCCCTTACCCCAAATCCTAGGGCTACAAAAGCCTCCAAAATGGTTCTATGGTTTAATAGGCTTGACGGAACATTTAGATTTTTTTACATATGGGTGAGTGGGAAGTTCAGCAGATTTGGTTTTTTAGACAATGAAAATAATAACACATCTCTCACACCTGTATACAGTGGTACAAGAGTCATACTAATCAAAACAAGATCATAGAAAAGAAGTGCAGACTGTCTTGGGAGGGAACAAGGGAGTGCTGTTGGTCTGCAAACTCAGGGAAAGCTCCTGGAAGAGTAATATTTAGCTGAGAGATAGAAAATGAGCAGAAGTTTCTGGGTCAGAGCTGAAGAAGGGTAAGAGGAAGAACATGGCAAACAGGAGAGAAGGCCTCATGGGCGTGGGTGAGGGTGGGAGAGCGTATGATGGATTAGAACAGAATGAAGGCTTGCATGGTTTGGGAGCTGAATACAAACCAGCGAGTGTGACTGGACAAGATGAAGAGGAATGCACAGTCATGATCATCAGGCAACATGAGGATGTCTTCTCTACAAAGGAATCAGAACACTATATTCATGAGCTCCTGATCGAGTGGAAGCAAGAGTCTAGTAAAAAAAATTAGAAACAAAGAGGTAAGTGCTACTACATAGAGATACACTTACTGCTGTCTGGAAGCACAGAGAAAGGAGGACTAAAGGGTTCCTGAGTGACTCAGAGAGAGATTTTCAAGGACATGAATACTTGAATGGAGGCTGCAAGGTGAGTGGGAGTTTTCCAGTACATGAAAGGGCCGTGAAAGAAAGAGAAAGGGACAGCAAGGACAGAGGCTTGGGGGTGGAAAACACTTCACTGTGGATGGAGGCTCGGGTTTGTCTTGTTAAAGACCCTACTTTACTGTGGATGATGGCAGGTCTTTAAAGTCTTTTTTGAAAAAGATCATCCTGAAAATAACATGGAGAATGAATTTGAGGGACATGAAAGTGGCACCAGAGGGCATGGTAAAAATTTACTGCCATAATAGAAGAGTTGCTGAAAGAGAATTGGTAGTAGGGACTGGGGAGAAGACAGGCTCAAGAGATGTTCTGAAATGGCAGGAACCAACAGTTTCCCCCCAGATCTTCATGTCACACTCAGCCTCGGATGAACTGGTGTTTTCATAGTTGGCAAACCTGTACTCAAGAAATCTGATGATCTCTGTTCACGCTCATGTACGAATGACTGTGAAGAGCACAGCGTCCTTTCTCACAGAACTTTGAGTTACAGAGTGAGTATGCCTGATGTGAGCAGTGAGTGGGCTGAGTGATGGTGTTTCAGATTTGGACCTTGATAAGAGCTATCAAGATTGGATCCATGGGCAGGAAGAATAGACTGCACCTTTGCTGTCCAGTGAACATTTGACAATACCTAGAGACACATCTGGTTGTCATGACTTGGGTGGAAATGCTAGAGGCTATGATGAGTGATGCTGTTGAACATCCTGCAGTGCAGAGGACAAACCAACCCCTCACAAAGAACTACCTGGCCCAACAGGGCCTAGTGCCAATCTTCAGAAAGCTGACTTTAAATCTGTAAGTAGTGACTCTACTAGAATGTGTGCACTGCCTATAAGAGTTCTATAACATCACACTGAACAAGCACAACTTGAAGGATGAAACCACAAAGTAATTTCTAGTCTGATCTTTGTTTATTCCTTTAAGCAAGTTAGTCCTATGGGGCTTGTCCTTACCATATTCTTCGGTGAGACGTGGGCAGACCTCACGTGTTGCTCACTGTTACATACTGACAAAAGTCCTGTATGTATTTTAAACCATATAGCACATTCTCAATCCCATAATTAAAATGTCTAGGCTCTTGTAATAATGGAAATCCTAAATTTAATTAAAAGTTGAGCCTCTCCGCTCCCTTGGCTTGGAGAAGGAGAGTAAGGCAGGTGTTTCTTCCCCAAAGCTCAGTGGTTAGAGCATGAGGTTGGAAGAGGGGTAAGAGCTCAGGAAGTTTCTTAACAGACTGATAGTGAGTGAGTTGGTTCAGGACTTCAGGCCAGGCGGTGTTTATAGCTGATGCCTTCTTTGTAGTTTTTTTGGTAAGTTTTCCTAGGGAATCTTCCACCAAGCATTCCTGTTAGTAAGTGATATACTCCCCTCTAGCTCAAGGCTTCCTAAAAACCAGTTGGGTGGTGAACCCTAGTGTTTGTGTTTTGGTGTTAATTTCCAGTGTGCCATGATCTAACACTTTTGTAAGCATATAGTAAAAAAATTTACTGGGGAGACGAAGTGAAAGAAAAATATACAACATAGAAACTCACATTTTGTATAATATTCAGCAGACATAAAATCTTACACCAGTAATAATTCTTAAGCCAGCACCAGTAGTTCCCCCATTCTACATGCACAGCATGATCCTTCCCTAGTGCCTGGAAGATACCAATATTTATTTTCTCTCTTCTGAGGCCAGTCTTTCCTTCACATGGACTAAATTGAGCTCTCCAATTGAAAGTGCTAAAGCATTGATGGCGAACCATTTAGAGTCTGAGTGCCCAAACTGCAACCCACAACTCACTTATCTATTGTAGTCGCAACACTGCAGTTAAACTTGAACACTGATGTTGTAGTTTAAAAAAAGAAAAC